TATTTATTTATTTTTTTTATTTTTTGATCTATTTTTTCTCTATTTGTGTTATACTTTTCATTTAGCTTTATATTATTTACTAATTTTTTAGCTTAACTATTTTTTTTTTTAATACTTTTTTTTTCATGTTTAACTTAAATTTAGCTGTTTGTTTTTTTATGATATCATAGTTTAAGCAGCTACATTCTTGTTTGAACAGTATTTTTTTTATTTATTTTTACTTTATTTAATTATTGAATACTGTTTTTTTTAGTTTTTTATTATCTTTGATTTATACATATTCATAGTAATCATATAATTCTATTAAGTTTCTAAATATACAGACTAATACTAACTTAGTATTAATAAATTAACTAATTTCTTATTATTTTTTAAAATTTTTGGTTTATGACTTTTTAATATTTTTTTTATACTTTGTTTGAGTTATCAAACAAGACTCAATACTTTTTTGATTTTTTATATTAGTTAATTTCTGTAGATATTGGTTGAACTTTCTATATAATATTTTTTTGCATTATTCTATAACTTTACTAGATATACTTAATATATAATTAATTCTTTATATCTGTGTTTATTTGTTTATTTGTTTTTTGTTGTGTTTACTATTTATTTTAACAGTTAGAAACATCAATATTACACAAATGTTCATGTATTTTTATATGATAATTGGCCAATCAAATCATGTTTTAAAAGAATAAAAAAAATACAAAATGAAGCAAAATTAATGTTATACATGAATTTAATTATATATTTGCCATCAAGTAAGCAAATGCATCTTTATTTTGTTTATTAATTAAATAATAAACAAACTTCAAATTATTATAACATATATAAAAACCAATAATCAATGTCTAATCCTATATCAAATATAATCCAAAACTTGATGTATATGCACATATTATATATATTATATAATTTTTAATATTTGATATTATATAGTTTCTAATATTAACACTTATTTATTTTTTTTTTTTTGGTATTAAGATGATTTTTTTGGTCTTTTGACTTTTATTAATCACTTATTAGTATTGTGATTCAATAAACTACTACAAGAGAGAGTACAATTAGCTATATATGTACTTTTCTATATTACCTATTTAAGGAGTTCATCTGAAGGTTTCCTACCAATTGTCATACTTAACATTTCTGCTTGGGTGTTTCACTTTAAACTCTTTGAATCTGTAATCTGTGTTAACTCACTAGGTTATACCCAAATGCCCAGATCATTGTCTCAATTTTAGAACTAATTTATCCTTAAAGTAAATTCCCCAAAGCCTTTTGTACCTATTTTTACAGTTAACCTAGGTATCACTATAGCAAAACCAACACTTGCAGTTAGGGCTAACCATTAAACTGCTATGCCCTTGTAGAGTTCACTTAAATTCTAGTATCTACTTTATAGCATAACCCTAGTACTTTAGTATACCTCTGTCTTTTTACCTGCCTTTTTACCAAACTTCCAATCCAGATAGTCTATGTAGAACTATAACCAGTTCATCAGTATATCAGGTTAGCTTAATATCCTTTTCTTTCAGTTCATTCTGGCAGCCTGATTGGTAGTATTCCTGAGACTCTTAATCTAGAGGTTCTTGCCTGTTTAGCTACTATGACTGGGTACTATGATTAGGTACTACAACCTTGGTATTCATTTCTCTGAGCTAGTCTTTACAATAGAGTTGTTAAAGATTTAGCTATCTCTTTACTCAGGTCTTCTTAAATAGACTTCTTGTTACCCAATTTTAATAGATTTATATGGTCATAAGGACTTATCTAGTGTTTGCACTGCCTAATTTGTTGGTTTGCATTTCTCTATGTAACACCATACTTATACAGATGTTCCATAACCTGCCAGTCATATTGGTGTGACTGCTATTACAGGTATCCTAACTTAATTGTTAATAACAGTTGCCATAATACGAATATTACATAGATGATTATTCAAATTTTTACTGTTGATGGTATTTAAACACCCAACCTACCACTTAGAAGGTTGACAACCTAACTACTTTACTAGATTACCACATCTCTTAATATTAACACTTATACTATTGTAATAGTATTATATATATATGTTCTTATTTCTATTTTAGAAAATATATAAAAAAAATATGTAGTTAGTAAATATTTTATTAATTAATATAAACAGATATTTGCTTTGAAATTTTAAAAAATTTATTTATAAAAATTTAAATAAATTAGCATTGACTGCAAGTAATAGTCTAAGCCAGAGCAGTACTGGGTCAACTGTAAGTATGAAATACAGAAGGCTTCAGTAGGCTTAGTATTAAGTTAAATATAACTTAGTGACTATGGTATATTTGTAGCAATAGCTGCAATTGATAGGGTAAGGGTGGATATGGGAACTAGAATATTTAAATAGAGAACCCACAGGTGGGTTCTAGGTATAGCAACTAGTATAGAACCTTCGAGTAGACTACTTAAAATAGACAATAACTAAGTTGTATGAGTGGCTAGTTATACACTCTTTCTATGATTGCCTCTGTAGCTGTTGTACACAATAGTTATATGCCAACTGATTATCAATAAACTTCTGGGTCATAATTACTTATCTTAACATTAAAAAAAAAAAAAAAGTTTAAATAAAAGATTATATAAACTAATAGCCAATCTATATTACTTTTGTTAAATTATTGTTTTCAACTTTTCTTTAATTTTTATTACCCAAATGATCAAAATTTGTAGTTTTGTATTTTATAATTACTTATTTATATATATATTTTATAAAAAAACTTATCATATAAAAGTTGTGAGATTCAAAAGGATTTAATTGATATTGTTAAATACAGCATAAAAACTTCAAGTTCATTTAGTAAGTTTTTTCATATTTCATAAATGCAAAGGCTTATATGAGTTTTGTGAAAAAGTATTTTAAAATGTATAAATTACAATTATTATAAATTGTGTAATATATTTATATTTTTAGGTATATTTCTCTCTGTTGTTTATTCTGTCTTATTTTATATGTTACGTTTATGATCTGCAATACAAAATTTTTGTGTTTTGCTATTTTTTCTTAAAAATTTTTAAAAGTAAAAAATTTTTAAAAACTTTAATAATAAGTTGTTACAATAATACTGCTCTAGTTTACTATATTAACAATTTATATTTAATTTTTTACTAGTTTTTTTTTTTGCCTAGTTGATTATTATACTTTAACTTAACAGTTTTTGTGTTTTTTATAATTTTTTTTCTGCTTTAAATTTGATCATGAGAATCAGTGAAAAAAATCTTTATAAGTCTATCTATTTTGAATTTATAATTTTTTAAAACAATTTTAAAAAACAATTTTTAATATAAATTTTTAACTTAAAGCTTATAAGTTACAACAAGTGCTATATTATATATTTTAATTATTCAGATATAAAGCTAAGCCTTTTCTTTAAAAAAAACTTCTTTTTATTATCATTATTTAATTTTTCTTTTAATTTTATTACTTAACAACCAACTTGAAACTTGTTCAAACCAAATTTTGTAATAATCTTAGTATTACTTTTATAAAAAGCATATCAAATAACAATCATGTTTTTTTGAATAGTATAAAATTAATGAACTTTTTTTTTATAATTTCATTTGTTATTTTTTTAAAAAAAATAATAATCTGTTTTTTTTTGAATTTTTATATAAATGTTTAAAATAATACAAAAAAACTTACTCTAAATAAGACAAATATATATCTGAAAATCTTTTATTTTTTTATTATATATTTGCTAATATGCTTTTATCATTCAAATACAATTAAAAAAAAAACCAAAAATTTCACAATCATTTTTTATCTTTACAAAAGTTTTTTTAAACCCCAATATTAAATGTTTTTTTTTAGTATTAGTATAAACCTTATTAATCTTTACAAATATAAATATTCATGTACAAATTTCGATAATGGTAGTTCGCTTTATACTATTTGATACAATAATTTTGTACCAATAATGGTGTATAAATAAAATCATAAACAATTATTATAGGATTATTTGACTAACGGTATTTAAAATTTTTTATGCATATTTGATAACCAATCAAAGCTATATTTGATTCGAGATTTGATTGGCAGTTTTAAATCACGTGGCTGAAGTGCGATTTGTCTTTTATACCCAAATAAAAGCAACCTTATCAATTTGACCAACAAAAATCAGAAATTTTTTGGTTATATCCATAGTTGACAGTATTTAATAAAAAAATTATTTATCGTTATAATACTGATATAATAGTGATAACTACGTAATTAATTATGTAATCGGTCCGATTTCAAAAATTATTATACTTTTACTAACTCTTAGGGTATTCAAAAAAGTAGGTTAGCAATATCATCACGTGAATATAGTTATCAAATCAGATTTATCGACTTAGGTATAATCATGGTGGAAATAGTTTCTACGTATAAAAACATTGTATAATCAAAATTTTAAACTACGTATTTCGAAATCCAAGAAATTATAGTAGTTGTATGGTATAACTTTGTAACATAGTATTATGTTATACTATAAAGCCTCTAACCAAGATGTATAAACAGACTTATCGTTATTATTGTTTTTGTGTCCAAAAAATTTATATCATGATAGTATTATTGCTTTTACAAAGGGTGCATAAATACTGATCAAAAATGCTTTTAAACGAGAATAATATGATTACATATTATTGTGAGCGTTTTAATTCAAAAGGTAATGATCGGGAAGTAGTAACGGTAAACAAGAAACTTATGAACAGATTATTCGTGATAATTGACGAAATAATCTACTACGCCAAATTACTAAATGCGTTAAGTCTGTGATTGTTGTCCGATAACTTCACAATTCGACAATGGACTAATAAATATAAAATGACAAACAGTATACTGATTATCAACACTATCAATGCTTTTGAATATAATTTCAAAAGAATTACGTAATTTTTTTTCGGTAATAACAAATAACGAACAAGTCATCGGAAACACTAGAGAAAATAACAACAGGCGGACGATTAGTGGGGTATCCGTGGCAAAGACAATGAATCAAGATGTCAATGTACCGGTCATAAACTTCGATCATACAAATACCCTCGAAACAAAGTATGTCTATTTTAATGAGAACAGACACGGATCCTCCCGAACGGTTAATCGAGAAGAAACTCCGGTACAAGATTGGAGAATGAGAGAAAGGCTCAAGACAGTATCAGGTGCCTTAGTCTTATGCTTAAATATCGGCGTAGATCCACCTGACATTGTAAAGCCAAGCCCTTGCGCAAAGCTTGAGTGCTGGGTGGATCCTTTCTCTGTTCCACCGACGAAAGCCTTAGACGCCATTGGTAAAAATCTTCAGGCCCAATACGAACAACTCAGCATTCGGACTCGATACAAACAATATTTAGACCCTTCGGTTGATGAGATGAAAAAGTTTTGCACAAATTTGAGAAAAAGTGCCAAGGAAGAACGCGTTTTGCTTCATTATAATGGTCATGGTGTTCCAAAACCAACTGCGAGCGGAGAGATTTGGTGTTTTAACAAGCATTTTACACAATATATACCAGTGTCCTTAGGCGATTTACAATCCTGGCTCGGTTCTCCATGTATTTATGTTTATGATTGTTCAGCTGCTGGCAATATTTTAGAGAGCTTCAAACGTTTTTCTGAACAACGATATTTGGAAAATAACAGGCCAGAATCTAGCACACCTTTAAATATTCAATTAGCCGCATGTGGTCCTAACGAAACTTTACCTATGCATCCTCATTTACCAGCAGATTTATTCACATCTTGTCTAACTTCTCCGATCGAAATTGCTTTAAGATGGTTCGTTTTACAAAATCCATTACCATCATATCTCACTGTTGACATGGTAATGAAACTTCCAGGGAGATTACAAGATCGTCGTACACCTTTAGGTGAATTAAATTGGATTTTTACTGCAATTACCGACACCATAGCTTGGAATGTTCTACCACGTGATTTATTCAAGCAATTATTTCGACAAGATCTTATGGTAGCTGCTCTTTTCAGAAATTTTCTACTGGCGGAAAGGATAATGAGGCGTTATCAATGTAAGCCCATGTCACATCCAGAATTACCACCAACTCACGATCATCCAATGTGGGATTCATGGGACCTGGCTGTTGATATGTGTTTAGCACAATTACCGTCATTATTAAGCGCTGAAAACGGTGGTACAGAAGTCGAATATAAACATTCGACATTTTTTGACGAACAATTGACAGCGTTCCAAGTGTGGTTGTCGAAAGGATCTGTGTCTCAAAAACCACCAGAACAATTACCCATTGTATTGCAGGTGCTTCTCAGTCAGGTGCATCGGTCTCGTGCGTTGGGGTTATTAAGTAAATATTTAGATTTAGGACCCCGTGCAGTTAGCTTAGCATTATCTATAGGAATATTTCCTTACGTTCTTAAGTTATTACAAAGTCCTGCTGCGGATCTGAAACCACCATTAGTATTTATATGGGCCAGAATATTGGCAGTTGATAGGTCATGTCAACAAGACCTATTAAAGGAACATGGTTATAATTATTTTGTGAATATACTCTCGCCAAATAGCATGCTTAACATTCCGAATGAAGCTGAACATCGAGCAATGTGTGCATTCATTTTGGCAATCTTTTGCACTAATTTTAACCAAGGGCAAGTTGCATGTAAAAAAGCTTTAGTTTTACAGGCTTGTTTAGCACGAATTGGAGATGTTGATGCCCTTTTACGGCAATGGGCATGTCTTTGTATAGGCCAATATTGGACAAACTATGCAGATGCTAAGAGTGAGGGTATCGAGAATCAAGCCCACTTGAAACTTTTTGGGCTTTTGAACGATCCTGTTCCTGAAGTTCGTGCATCAGCACTCTACGCTCTAGGTACTTTTATTGGTGACTTGGAACGTACAGAACAAATAGTTAATATTGAACATAACATCGCCATAAACGCCCTTGATGCTAATAACGATGCTTCTCCTCTTGTCAGAAGAGAACTCGTTATAGCACTCTCCTACATAGTGAATGCATATTCAGAACAATTTATACGTGTGGCTTATGAAGAGTTGCAAGATATTCATCGGCGCGTTGTTGCAACACGACAACGTCCTAGGGAAAGTCGACCTAGCTCCGTGTACACTTGCGTTTGGAAAGCACTACTTAATCTTTCTGCAGACTCGGATGCAGAAGTTGCACAACTTGCTGCAACAGTCGTTGATGCTATAAATACTCAATTATTAGAATCTTCACATATTGAAAACGTCACGGTTGCATTGCGGCAGGTACTCCAAGAACAAGGTACACAAGATACAGAAACTTTTAGGGCATCATTAAATAAGCAACCATCATACGATGATGTGCTACCATTAAAATCGAAATTCTTTGATTGGAGTTGCGAATATTTCCGAGAGCCACAAATGAAGGTAAAACATCATATCTATTACTGGTAAATTCAATAATAAATAGTTTTAATATTGTTCATCTTATTAATAGCCCGCTGAATCCGAGCAATCGGGTAGCGTCGACGATAATGTGCGATCATGGCGTCGCAAAAGAAATGAAAATATAATTAAATCTACACAACCACTTAAGGAAGTTGCTGGTGATTAATGTTTAATAATTTTCATTGATCATATTCTAAATCATTTCATTTTCTGATACAGATTTGTTAACAGGTTCTAGCCGATGGAATAAACAGATTGCTATATTTAATAATGAATCTGAGCCATCAAAATTGTTATTTCATCAATTTGAACCTCATCTTGTTGTATCCAATGATAAGGATAATATAAGGTAAATAACATTAATTAAATTAATTAATCATTTATTTTCATACTTAATTCTTTATATTTATTATAGTATATGGAATTGGAAAGAGCACTACCGTATGCATTCTTTTTCAAACGGAAACCCAATGGGAAGTAAGATTACAACATTAAAATTCGTAAATGAAGACGAAATATCAATGTTACTCACTGGCTCAAGTAAATAACATTTGCATACCTTGCCTGTTATTAAAAGAGAATGCAAACTCAATATTTTTCATCTTATTTGATAGGTGATGGTATCGTTCGTGTGTATCGTAACTATGATTCACCAATGTCGTCAGAAATAGTGACGTCATGGCGTGCAATGCCTGAAATATTACCGAACAGCCAAAGAAGTGGTCTTATTGCTGAATGGCAACAATCTCGAGGGACTTTATTAGTAGGTGGCGATGTTCGAGTAATCAGAGTATGGGATGCACTGCGTGAAATCACAGTTAGCGTAAGTAGCTCGTAAAGTTGATAAGTGTTAAATCATATTGATCTGATCTATTTCTTGTTATATAAAATTAAAGGTCATACCTGCTCGGTCAGGAAGTTCCATCACCAGTCTTACCAGTGATGGTGATTTTTTTGTAGCTGGTTTTGCAGATGGAGCAATTCGTGTATTTGACATACGTATCCAACCTATAGATGCGATGATATTATCTAATAAAGAACATAAAAATTCTATAACGAATGTCGTGTGGCAGAAAGGCGCAGGACGTGAGCTAGTATCCGGGAGTAAATCTGGAGAGATAAAAATATGGGATATTCGACATAATCGTTCAAAACGTACTATATGTAATGAACCGAACTCTTGTGAAATGAATGCAATGGATGTTCACCAATATGCAGATGTTGTAGCAAGGTAAATCCTTTAGTTTGTTCTCTATACTATCTTTTTCTTTCTAATTATAATCATATCTTTATAAATAATAAATATAGCGTATATTCGAATCAATTAATCAAAGTCTGGAACACATCAGGAATAAATCTATCTTCGACCCGTTACAACACTGGATTCCTTGGGTGGGGTGCACAAGTTACATCCTTAGCACTCGCAGGTCACCATATGGTGATGGCAGTTGGTGCTACAGATAATTATTTATCACTATACGGCAGAGATGTTACATTATAATATTGGGCATTTGGACAATGTCTAATTTATCCAGATAATTTAATAAAATTTTTATTGGACATAAAAATATTTTATTATAATAATTTAGAATTTTATATATTTGTAATAAAAATTTATTCTCTTATTGTCTATATATTCGTGTAAAGGTGTAATTTCGAATTGCAGCCAGAATTACGCTTGATTCAGGCCATTATTCGAAATATTGCATATACACAATATTTCGCGAATATAGTTTTTATTATTCTTTTTTTTTTAAATACGTCACTATTGGGTCAAATCAATGAAATTTTTAGCAATAGTTGTAAATATGCACGAATAGGTTTACTAAAATGTAATATTTATTGCATAATTTTAATTATAACTTTGATTTTTGTTCGCACTTTTGTCAATAAATTTATCAAATGTATTGGTAGGGAATTTTTATAATACAATTATGTAATAATCAAATTTGAAAAAAGGCATAAGGCTATGCAAAATTTAATGAATTTGTTTTTATAATCTAGCCGGGTCAATTTTTGAAAACGAAAAAATTTATGTTTTAGTAACCGAGTAGATTTTCTGAAATTTATACGTATATAAAATTTAGCAAAAAAGCCGGGTCTTTAAAATTTTGTGAAAACCAATCAACTTTTGTATATTATGTTAAAATAATTTTATTTTTTTTAATAAGCAAAAAATTATTGGCTGACTTGTAACTTTCGCTGTAAAGGGACCTTTTTAAATTCAATCTCTATAAATGTATTCTCTATGTAAAAATTGTTTAAATGCACAATTTAGTCTAGTTCTAGATTTATAATAAAAATTATATACAGTAAACTCTTTCTAAGTGCACGTTCTCTAGATGCAAGTTCTTTAAATACAACAAACTTTGGTTTCTTATTAAAGTTATGAAATAAATACAAGTTTTTTATTTATAAATGCAAGATTTTTTTAGCCAATATATAAAATTACTTTTTATTAATAAATTAAATTGATTTATTTGATTACAAGTTTTTTAACTTGTATTTAGAAAGTATACTTATTATATTGTATATTGCAAAATTTTTTTAAATACAAAATATTTTTTTGTCTATTTGTATTTAGAAAAAGATGATTTTTTATAAGAAAATTTTTATTTGTATACTACGTGTGTATATAGAAAGCCAATCAGGAAGTAAGATCTAGTGTAACGTAAATTTCTTTTTTTTTGAAAATTTGGCTAGAAAACCATCTGGATTCTAAAACAAAAATTTCTCGCAAAATTTTATAACTGCCATTAGTATAACCTACCTTTAATAAAAATTATTGTTACGTGGTTTGTAAATTACTATCCGTGTACAATACATTACGTGTAAACTAAGAAATTTTCTTTTTATAAATGCTATATATATTCTATATATTTTTACAATAAATTACTGAACTTTGATCATGTGACTAGTGATACAAATTGCCAAAAAATTTTCAATCGATTAGTTGACAAATTCAAAAATTTTCAATCGATTAGTTGTCAACTAAACGATTTATCGATTTTGATTGATTATTTTATTATAAGTTGACAAAATTTTTCAATCGATAAATTGTTTTTTTTCAAATTTTCCAATCGATTTGTCAATTAGTTGACAACTAATCGATTTTTCGACTTTCGATTTGTATCACTACATGTGATAATACATAGCAAGTTTTCAACTTCAATTTTTTATTTATTTGTTTATTAAAAATTTTATAATAAAATAAAAAGCAATAAATATGCAATTTTTTTTTTTGCTAAGGTTAATGTTTATAGTAGTTACTGTTTTTATTTGTGTTTTCAATTATATATATATATAACTTGTACAAGGTAAGTGTGCAACTTTTGATTATTTATTTAAGTAGTTCATCTGCAGGTTCTATACTAGTTGTCATATTTATAATCTACTAGAAGATTATTTATTTAAATACTTTGATTCTTATACTGTACTTAGTAAAGTAGTATTTGGTTCTTATATATCTTACAAATAAGTAATTACTTGGTTTCTATATATAATGTTCTGTTTAACCTAATATTTAGACTTTTTTTTTGTATGTTTGTTAGTCTATTATATATTTCAGAGTATGTTATTTAATTGTAGAGTTCAAGATATTCTCTTATTAATTACCTATTCACTCTACAGATTATTAATAACATTAGTTATTAAAAAATTTATTTGAATTTTAATATTTACTTTACAGTATATTACTAATATTTTTAGTATACTTTTGCTTTGTTTTAGACTTTTAATTTAAATAGTTTAATAAAACTGTAACCTGTTTTTGATATATTAAGTTAAGTCTAATATTCTTTTTCTTCAATCTAATTCTAGTAGTTTAGTTGATAATACTTCTTATTTAAAGATTCTTGTTTATTTAATTCTTTTATATTAATATCTGTTTTTTAGGTCTAGTCTTTATAGTAGTATTATCAAATATTTGTATTACTTCTCTACTTAGATTTTTTCAAATAGATTTCTGTTTTCTTAGTTTTATAAATTTATATAGTCATAAAAATTTATCTTGAGTTTACATTGTTTAATATTGGTTAGCATCTTTCTGTCTAACTAAGTTTACACAAATGTTTTATAATCTGTTAGTCATGTTAGTACAACTATAGTTACAGATATCTGATCTTAACTAATTATTAGAAAATAGTTATTGTAATATTTATGATTATACAAATAATAATTTAAATTTTTTACTATTAGTATTTTGAACTTATCATCTTGTTATAGAATGATTTATTATTATTTTATTATTATTATTAGTTTATTATTATTTTATTATTATTATTTAGTATTAGTTATTTTTTTTTTTTTTTTTTTTTTTAAGTTAAAGTTCCTATCTTGGGAGTTGTGATGTTTTTATTCAAGTATATTAGAACACGGTGTGCCACCAAGGGCTCATCTTACATTGGAGATTACAACTAGCCACATGTGCATTTTTGGTGTCTAATTTAAGTAGTCCGCTTACACATTACTATATAAGTTCTACACTAGTTGCCATACCTGCAAGCCAACTAGGGGTC